CAGAAGATCTCCACACTGGTTTCAGGCTAATGAATGCCTGTCTTGCTTTTCCGATTCTGACTTTGACGTCCTCGTCCGTCCCGCCTGTAGTTGAAACAGTGCTTCCTAGATAAGTGAAGGAGGTTACTTCCTTTAAGTTTCTCCCGTTGACGGTGATTGGAGTTTGTTGTTGTTGTTGATGGTGGTGGTGCGGTATCTTCATCACTTCTGTCTTCTCTATATTCACCTGAAGTCCCGTCTTCGCTGCCTCTTCTATCAACTTGTTAGTTTTTGCCTGCAGATCTTCAAGTTTATGTGACATTAGGCATAAGTCATCGGCGAAATCCAAGTCTTCTAGGTTCTTTTCCGTCGTCCAGTGTATCCCCCTCTTCTCGCTGCCTACTGTTTGCTGCATGATCCAGTCCACCACAATCAAGAATATCATGGGGGATAGTAGGCAACCTTGTTTCACTCCTGTCTTCACTTCAAAGGCATCACTGAGCTTCCCATTGTGGATTACTTGGCATGTAGCATCTTCATATAGTTGTTGAATGAGGCGGATAAAGGTTTGCGGTACTCCGTAGTATTGAAGCAGTTTCCAAATTACTTCTCGGTCGACGCTGTCAAAGGCCTTCTCAAAGTCGATGAAGTTGAGGTGGAGAGGTGATTGCCATTCTATGCTCTGTTCTATGATGATACGAAGCGTTGCAATTTGGTCTGCACATGATTTGTACTTCCTGAAGCCTGCCTGTTCCGGTCGTAGTTTTGAATCCAGTGCATCCCTTAGCCTCTCCAGGATGATGCGGCTTAATATTTTACTTGGGGTGGACAGGAGAGTGATTCCGCGCCAGTTCTTGCAAGCACTGAGGTCTCCCTTCTTCGGCAGTTTGACAAGGTAACCCTTCTTCCAATCGTCAGGTACCTTCTCTTCCTTCCACACCTTCTGCAATAGTGGTGTGAGCATGGCCGCTGTTGTCTCTGCATCTGTTTTCAGTGCTTCTGGCGGTATTCCATCTGGTCCTGCTGCTTTCCCGCATTTCAGTAGCTTTATGGCGTTCAGGACTTCCATTTTCGTTGGGGGATTAATGTTCACTTGTAGTTCAGCGGCTGCAGGTGGTATTTCTGGACGAAGTGCAGGTGGTGGTCGATTCAAGAGCTTCTTGAAGTGGTCGGCCCATCGTTTCCTCTGTTTCTCTTCTTTTGTAATTAAATTTCCTTCTTCATCTTTTATTGGTTTCATCTGTGTTGGTCTCTTCCCTGATAGCAACCTGGTTATTTGATACAATGTCGTCAGGTCTCTCTTACCTGCAGCCTGTTCTGCTTCACTTGCCAGTGTTTCGTAGAAGTGTCTTTTGTCTTTGCGTGCACTCTTCTTCACTTCTTTGTCCAGTGTTTTATACATTGTGCTCAGTTCCTCTTGTCGTTGAGCATCCTTGCACTGGTTTATCTTCTGCTTCACCATCCTCCTCTCCTCTATCAGCTTCCAGGTATCCGTCGAGATCCATTCCTTGTCTTCTTTCTTCTTCCTTCCTAATACTGTTGTGCAGGTTTCTTTCCACATAGCTTTCAAAGACTTCCAGTGTTCTTCCACACAGGTTTCTTCAGGGATGTTGCTCGATGTCTCCCATTTTGTCTTGATGGCTGCCTTGAAGATCTCCTTTGTAGTTTCATCCTTCAGTTTCCGAGTGTTGTACTTGGGTTGAGGTCTATCACCAGCTTCCTTGAAGGCTTTTAACTTGATTTGGAAGGTTCCTTGCACTAGGTAGTGGTCTGAACCTACATCTGCTCCTCTTCTTGACCTTGTGTTAAGTAGACTGCGTCTCCATTTTCTTGAGATTGAGATAAAGTCGATTTGATTTTTAGTGTGTCCATCTGGTGAAATCCATGTCGCTTTGTGGATATCTTTGTGCCTGAACACACTGCCTCCAATCACCAAATCGTTGAATGCGCAGAATTCTGCAAACAATTCTCCATTCTCATTCATTTCACCTAGTGCCTCTCGACCCATGGTTAGTTCTCTTCCCGTGTTGTCCCCTCCCAGTTTGGCATTCATGTCGCCCATCAGAATTTTGATATCGCCAACTGACGTCTTGTCCAGTGTTGATTGAAGTTGTCTGTAGAAATCCTCCTTTTTCTCTTGCTCTGCATTATTTGTAGGTGCATAACATTGTATGATTGTGACCTTTCTTCCTTTTGAGTTGAATCTTGCTGTCATGATCCTGGAGGAGATTGGTTCCCACTGCATGAGAGCCTTCGATGCTCTTGAGGACATCATGATAGCCACTCCCTCAGTGTGCTCGTGGTTGGCGTCTGGGTGACCGGAGTAGATTATTGATTCTCCAGTTGACAGTTTGGAGAGTCCACTCCCATTCCATCTGCTTTCGCAAATCCCAAGCACTTCGATGTTATACCTTCTCATCTCCTTTGCAATCTGGGCTGCCTTACTGGGTTCAAACATCGTGCGGACATTCCATGTCCCCACGTTTACTTTCGCTTTCATCGAGAGAAGACACATCGGCCAATTGGCTTCCCGAAGGCTTTCACCAACTGGCGTCATTTCGCCTCTCCGATTCCAGCGGGGAATAAGTTTGTTTTCATTTTTTATATTTTGTTTGTGCTTTGAAGTTTCTTTAGCGGTTAGATTTGTTTTACGGGGTAGGGTTGCTAGCCCTATGCCCAACCTTCCCTCTTTACCCGGGCTTAGGACCGGCTAGTAACTAGTAAACTAGTTAACCAGGCGAGGTTATATATATATATATATATATATATATATATATATATATATATATATATATATTAGAGAGAGAGAGAGAGAGAGAGAGAGAGAGAGAGAGAGAGAGAAAATAAGCAACATGACTGTGGAAAATGAATTAAGTGTGCACACAAATCCTCATGCTTTTCAGTAATAAGTTATATCAATATAGCTTCTGAAAACCTGTTTTTAAGTATATACACCTAAGAGAAGCGTGCTGCGAAAATGCCGACGTTTATTATACCACACATTCAAAGTGGACAGGAAAAAAAATATTTTTTGGAAAGCGTAAGATGGCGTAATACTGCAACTTTTAAATAATGTTGGACACAAACTGACCAATGTTTAGCACTGAATTTTGGAGTACTACTCCTGCAGAGAAACCATTACAAATTGGATCAACAGTCCGGTAGGTGGCCCCTGCAGGTCAACACCATACAAGTGCAACCATGCATATTGGTCATCCAGATCTACATGACTGCGCTCTTAATGTTAGGCCACAATCCTAGGTTTTTAAAATCATAGACTTCTTAGTTACTAGAAGCTACGATCCTAAAACAATAGGAAACTGCAGTTTGGTAGCCAATCGTGCTTTCAGAATAATAGTCTCTCCGTGTAAACAATCAGAGCTTTGGTTAGGATATATTTCGGGTGCTGTGGGTGGCCAGTATATGACATGATTCAGAATGTGATATCAAAGCAGTAAGCTCACGTTCCAAATACTTAGCAGATATACTGTGATTGACTGAAAGGATAGAGAATGTAATGGATAACGGTATCAGTAGCCCCCATTTTCAGGAAATAGATTGTCATGATTTGTTTACACTATCTTGTCAACATCTGGAAGAAGACCTTATTCTGAGAAGCCTTGACCTAATACTAGCATTCGACTTACTTAAGACTGACCTTGATATTAACATGCCTTGTATCTTTTCCCCTTCATGGACTGACTATCTTCAAGGCTACATCTAGAAAATCCAAAAGCCACCGTCAGATCAACTTCGTATGGGTCTGTGCTCCTTTTAAGCAGCAACCAACACTTGGAAATCTTTGTCTGAACAACTGATTACAGATCTTTCACTGAATGGATTCTTAGGGAAACAAGACCTAATATTAACTCCGTGGATCAACAAAGGTAAGATAGCCTTCTATCTGTATTACTGAGGACTAAGTAATATATTGAATGTTAGTTTATCGTACTTAGTTTTTCTCTCTGACAGTCGTTATTATGGGAGAATAATGCAAACAGTTCAAAACGCTTGGAATTTGGTTTATAGCACTGAACTAAAAAAGCCACTAAACTTTCAGTAGAAGTATTATTCTGCAGCCAATCCTAGAAACTTTTTTCAGCAATATAAGATTTGAAATAAAATGAGGGCTGGAAGATTAGTGAAAGGCTATAACTGACTGTCCTTGACTTCCGATCTTTATTTCCGACAAATGAAACCATCATGTGCTAAACTGTATTCGTATACTTTTGCACGACTATTTGATCATGCTGACTGTCGTTAAACTAGATAACATAAGGTCAAGGTAGTCTGACTCACAGTTATTGGGGCATTGATAGTGCACCTTCTATGCAACGAAATCCGACTGGCTATCAAATAGATAAATAAACACTTAAAACATATAAATGTTAGCTAAACAATCTCCGAAGGCATCAGTGGCTTTGTCCTGTACATTTTTTTCAGTACGCAGCCATTCGCCCGTCGATACCCACCACTTTGGCATCTCCTTTAGGTTAATCAGCAGCCCACATACTTAGACTTCATAGTTCAGAGATCTATAGATAGATAAGCTTTAGCGTTTTCCTATCGAATAACTACTTTAAGTCAAACTCACGTGCATCACGTTTCGCAAGTCACTGAGTCGTAATAAAATAAGTAAATCACACAAAACTCCATGCACAGCTGACTACTTATAGTGTACATTACAGGCCGTTAATTATTACATATTAACTTAGGAAATGACCATAAGGTCACTTTTCCAAATAACTACATTTAAGAACTCACAGTAAGCATCTGCTCAACAATATAGTAAATCGGACCTAGATTATAATCAAAATTCAAAATGTACTCCTTCATTTGAATTTTCGTATGAAGGTTCATGGAAATGTTTTAACTGATTTCCTGGTGCATAAGAATTTAACAAAAGTAAGACATGAAGTGTTTAACACCACACATAAGGTGAATATTCTGCATTTCAAAAACTTATTAAGGTAACAAAAAGCACAAGAAACTGAGTAGATCACTATCACAGCTTAAAGTACCACAGTTACTCTCGAAAATGTCGAACTGCGCGGAATTAGACAGGGTCATAGACGGCAGGTTTTTGAAACGTTTGAACTCATACTTACCTATCACCTTTAAATAACCAATGGATACAACGAGAATTTCTAATAAGTCTTTTTAGAATGACCCACTATGGCTCTAGAGAACACACATAATCTAAAGGTGGAACATAGCAGGTTAGATACCAGACACTCCCTAAGAGTTATTTAACCCTGAAACACCCTTCTTGAAGATGTGATCCAGGCTACTTCGTCTGAATCCTTTAAATGCCACCTGGATACTAACTTGATATGTGGCTAGGATCTGCACAGAACTAACTGGATTTTCATATCTTAACTGCAACTTTTCCTTCTTTTTTTACTTGTACACAGATCAACAACCAAAAGAAGTAGTGTTCCACGGATTGCAGACGCGGAAGCCAGTTAAGCGAAAGCTTCTTCCATTACGTCAACAACCATCCAAACCATCTGGACCATTTGACTTAGTGAAATTAATGAACTGTGTTATAGCATGTAAAGCCACGTTTCTGTTCCAGCTAGGACATGCAAGTCGGACGCATGAAATCAGCTGACATTCAATTTTTCGCACGGGGCACAACTCCATCCAGATTTCAGATTTGCCTTGCCGACAATCGCCAACAATCACGAAACCTGCTTTGAGGGTTACCTACCGATGGTCTCCGACTAGCTAACATCTGTCAAAAGTACAGCGTGATGGTGAGCTTAGTGGTCCCACTTCCAAGTGGATGATAGAATTCTCTCAGCATACAAAACTGGACAACATGAGATTGGATGCTCCTAAGTGACCAACCGTGTCGAACCATCCTATCCCACAGGAGGCCAGTTGCTACCCAAACAGCACGGCGATTACGCCCCTGGCTGCCACACTCAGTGATGTGGGGCCGAGTTTCACAGGAGGCATCACTTCCCTTGAAATTTCAGATGGGCCTTGGTAATGAGCGCCGACAAGCGGAAAAATTAGAACCAGGACATCCTGACAATTGCCCTCAGGCAGCTTGTGCTTTAAGAGACATCAAGGGCAAGGCCATCCCTATGTAAAGTACATCGTGAACTAGACGACTAACACGCAGGTTGTCCATAAACTGGCTCCTCATACAACCCATAGACAGTAAAAACGTTTGATCTGCCCTCTCCGGGGTGGGTGGGAAGCTCGAGGACTCGGAGAGGGTTCGTTCCAAGAAATTATAAGAGGCTTAGTGGATTGGAATCTCGCCGCCATTTCAAAAGTCCACGAGTATTCGTCAAGATGTTAACCGTTTCCGCGCCATCGTCTTCGTTCTCGATCTCGGATTAGGTGAAACCGTTTCCAAAGATAGTCCGCAAGATTATGATGAATAGGACAAAGCAAAAGAGCACACATACTCCAAATGAATAAGACTACCAGAATAGAACATTAAAATTTAGTACTTGGCCTCTAACAACTGATATCAGTTATCACGGAACTTTGTTGTTTCGTTAACTTCATGTGACCTGTGGGGGACATAAAAGACGTTCAAATCCACAGTTCGTTGATTCAGAGATCATTAGCACATCATCCAATATATTTAGATTTATTAAGCAATCAAACACTGCTAGGAACTATGAGTAGGGCTAATTGATTCCTTTAGTGAATACGAATTGTTTTAAAGACCAGGTTGAAAACAGCACTTGGTTCATAATCTCATGCATAAAGTTGTCCTGTTCAAAAGTTTTACCCGATTAAGCAAACTATGAGCAAACGTTTCAATGATAAACTCTCGTTTAATGTTCAGATGAAGTGCTGGGGAAACTAAAACTGAAAATATGATTAACTACGACAGAGGTGTTTGTTATAGCTGAACGTATTGTTGCCTCAAAGCACCCTATGGTGTCTTTTCCTTGAGAGGGCTGGATAGGAAAGGATTAGCATCAGTTACTTTGGCAATCATGCAACACCTTTTCGACCACAAATCAGGCTATTATCTGGAAGAAAACGACATATCTGCAATATGAGGTACACGTATGTGCGATAAGATCATGTATCTTCAGGGAATTCTTTTGACAGCGACTACAGTGCATGAACATGTACATGTCACCAAATTAACCCGATAAATAGCTCCGTTGTCCATTGCGGAGGCTTCTTCGTCGGTGTTAAAGCCTACGTAAGTGCAACGCCAAGGGGTTGAACGCGTTTGACACTGCTCAGGTTGAAAGCGATCTAATCTGGCTGAGACGGGGGGCAGAGCGCTCAAAACATCGGTTATTGGCTGTGAGTGCTTCCATTCTTCCACATTGTCAACCATGGTTAGACCGTTGAAGTTTTTTATGTACATCTTTATGAGAAGGTCTACATGCCCTTGGATACCGTTCCAGCTACTTACGCAAACTCTCAGCACGATTGTTCGTGTTGTTGCCCAAGGTGACTGCATCGTCTAATTATGCCGATGCCCACATTCCTTCCCTTGGTAGCCGGTTTTTCCATAGACTTGTGGACGGAAATAAGCTTTCATTCTTTTTTTCCAGGGTCAAGCGGGTTCATAATCTTTTTAACTGAATTACTTTCACTACACAAACGTTTAGTTCTCTGAGGCTAACGATTTCACATAAACGTCGCTGTCGTGATTCTGGCTAGTGTTCAGAGAGAAAACGTAAAGAAATGACTTTTCACCGCTTGTTTAGACGTTACATTGCGGCGTGTCACCATTTCTTAGGCTAAGTGGCAAATGTAACTGCCCAGCCGGCTAATTTCCTAGCAATCCGATGATTTTTTTGTCATTTCTCTGATATATTGAAGGAAAGCATCCATGTTGTTACTATTGCCGATGATCTAATCCATTTATATTCCAAGGTACAGAGAACAACGTGGTACTCGCAGACTTTTTAATGTATTGTTTTCACGTTTTATCGGTCAGAAAGTTGTGCAAAATTTTCCAGGTATGCTAACAAACAGCAGTACTTCCTGCCACTAAAAGTTGCACCACAGATGGAACAGAAGCCGAAACGACGGTCTAGCTATTGTCACCAGGCAGTTTTGAAAGGGTTTTGCTCTGATTTTCAGGTCAGCTCCCACTCTTAGGTTGAACTTCTTCGTGGATGTTATCTTCAAACAACCTTGGAGATCGGCCGCCCCACCGAGCAGGAAACATCACCACAATATTCTGGCATTAAACCGAACACCCCTATCAGAGCACCCCTACGTTTCAGGCCCCAATGCATCCACGGGCCTCTCGTTGTGTAGACGTGCATGAGCCACCTCTACTTGACTCCACATAATAATGGGGGAGATGCAGCTCACCTGGGGAGATGATCCTCTTCTCTCTAAAGCCTCGAGTTCAGAGACCCCTCTTAGGCCACTCGTTCGACCGAGGCTAAGAAGGAGGAGACTCGGAATTTCTCACCAGATACCCCCACTGTCCTGAAGCAAACCATGCAACCCCCTCAACGACGGTGACCACTGGAGCCAAGGAGCTTGGTTCCTTTGTTTTTCAGCCGGTCCGCCTCTGGCGAAATAAGCGGAATCCTTACGGCCTACTGGACGGCCAACATGACGCCAATCGTCTCGCGAATTATGGAAAACGTGGATAAGAGCAGCATCTCCGATCACCTACCCAGAGAAAACCTTATCGCAAAGTCTCAGCACGGTTTCATTTAAAATGGGCCTAACGTCACTTCAACCTTGTCACTAGTAGCCCCAAGGCGCGTAAAATCGTCATTGTTGTATACTTTGATGTACAAAAGGCACTTGATAAGGTGCTGCATAACATACTCTTTGAGAAGCTACAGTCGACCGGCATTGGTGTCCCCTTGCTTCGTTAGCGGAAATTATTTATTGGTGGAAGCATTCAAATCGTTAAAGTAACCTCCATGCAGTCCGAAACTGGGCACATAACCAGTGGGGTAAGACAGGGTAGTGTCATTTGGCTTTTGCTGTTTTGAGCTTTTTATTATTAGTGTTTTCAAGTGCTTCATTGCGGGCTAACAGTCCAAAGCTCCAGTGATCTGAAGGTTTTGTGCTCCTGCCACACTCCTAAACCAACCAGTAGGCTATCTCTGCTCAACCAGAATTAGGTGAAGTTGTCAAATGGTGCAATGAGTTCCATCTCAAACTCAACATCGAAAAGTGTGGTTAGCTCAGTATATGCAACGATGAACTTGACTTATCTCTCGAAGTATGTGGATAAACGCTGCGCGGGGGTTCCCCAGTGCTGTATCTTGGTCTTAAACATCCCAGTGACCTAGCATTCATCGAGAAAACAGCTTGTGTCATACCTAAGTCACGTAGACACCTTGGATGCATCATCCGTAACTTTTATAATACTGAATCAAGGGTCCTACTCTATAAAGTGTATCCATACAATTTCGGTATACTGCCTGCTTATTCTAAGTGGCCTCACTACAAGCGACAAACTGAAAACGAAGGGATCCGAACGCACTCTGCGTTAAGAAGCTAACTGTAGCCTGGATTGCACCTCCAGACTCAGCACGCTAGACCTGGAACCTCCGTGGATAAGGTGACTTAGAATAATCAATAAACAAATGTTTTATTATCGCGTTAAAAAAGATTTTAACATGAGAGAAACCAGTTTACAGGCTTCACCACGTTGATAAATCTCAAAATATTTACAAGACTTGAGCTCTGAGTGGTACTGACGGAATGTCATTAAACTCAATTATAAACTGCCGAAGGTCCTGCTAGTTATGAAATGAACAAGGAAACATTACTTTACAGAGTACGTAGAGTCTTAAAGTTTAGGTAATAATAAATATTGTCTTCACGTAACAGGTTTAACATGAGGGATACCAGTTTATGAGCACCGTCAAATTCATAACTTTTGAAAGTATCCAGTATTAAATAATTTACATATCGAGTCATTAGTGATCATAATCTTATTGAAATTTGCTGAAATTCATGAGACGAATGTGGATTGCTATCTCATATCACATAGATAGGTCCCATTACCAATATCAAAAGAGCGCAGTGTTCAAAGTTTGCGTAGTAACCAACCGACGTTGTTAGTCCCATCGCATAGTTTGCTAATTAGTAATATA